ATATATATATATGCACACACACACACACACTTAGACATAGAATCAAATTGACTAGTAATTATTTCACTACTAATTCTACAAAAGCTTATTTAAAAAATGAAACAGGTAAGTTCAGTGTATGTCTGTCTTTAGGTCATGGTACAACATTTATTTCTTCTTGCTCAACTTAATTTTTAAGTTTTCTTGCCTCAACATAAAAAGGATAAATAATTGGTATGGCCTTGTAGCCTAGCATTAAGGGAGCTTGATCATACATTGATGACCGTGATTTTTTTCCTGCACCTGGTGGTTTGAAAACCAGACCAAGTGAGTTGTGTGCATGTCTCAAATCCCAACAGGATGGAAAAATGGAGGAAAAGGGATTATGGCATTGCTACTTCCCAGATGTGTGCTGTCTCTCTGCTACCTCTCTCTCTTTTGTGTGTGTGTGTCTAAGGAATGCACACTCTCTCTAGCAATTAGAAAGAGAAAAAAAAAAGTTAATTTATCCCTGGAATTTGGGGGCTTTTATACCATGCCATAGTATTTTTTCCCTTCCTCATCAGCTTAACTTTTTTTTTTTTTTTTTGGTCAGAGTTTATATGTGTTTGTCAGAGGAACAAAGAGACAAAGACAGTGAAAAAACATGCCCCTCTTTGAGGCATGGTAATACCACAGTCCCATGTTCCCCATTTCTGCATCCTGTAAAGATTTGGGACATGCATATGTAGGCACCTGACATTCTTTTCAAGCCATCAGGACTGGGAGTCAAGCCACAGATGGCCATGTGAGATCTGGCTCCATTAAGCCCTGGGCTCTGGGGCTGGGGTTTCAACAACTGAACTTTTTAATTTCCCTGGTTTGAGGTAGAAAATCAGAATGGTTTAGATGTTGCAGAATGCACTGAGTGATATTTAAAATTTATTCATCATTTTCTTTTTCTTTTTTTGAGAGATTTTTGCTATAGAGCTCATGTGCTCGCTGGAGACACAGAGAGACAGAGAGAAAAAAAAAGTGAGAAGTAACCTCTTTGGGGGATGTCCACATCACAATGTCTACTCCTCCATTCTCCTCTTGGAACTTTTTTTTTTTTGAGAGGTTTTTGCTATAGGGCGCGTGTGCTCGCCAGACAGATAGAGAAAGACAGAGAGACAGGAAGCGATAAATCACCCCCCAGGAGGGATGGCCATGCCGCAATCCCTTCTCTTCTGTTCTCCTCTCAGGATCTTGGGCACGCAAACACATGTGCCTGGCGTGAGTTTTAAGCCACAGGGTCCGGAACACAAACCGTGGTCAACTACGTGGGAGTCCAGTGACATAGCCATTATGCTAACTGCTGGTCCCTCCTCTTGGGATTTTGAGCACACACAAACATGCACCTGGATTGAGTTTCAAGCCACCAGGTCCATGACTCCAAGTGCAGTCAGCCATGAGGCAGTCCAGGGCCATAACCACTGTGCCATTATTTTCTAAGAGCCATATTAGTACAGCAAAGAGTTGGTTTGGTGGAAGATGACTAAAATTAGAGGATGCAGTGATATACTCAATTGTTTCAATGAACAAATGAATTTCTTTGATTTGTGTCAATTATTTCTAATGACTAGAGGAAGCATGATATCAGATCCTTTCCAGAATGTTTAGTATTTCAGTCCTGGCTAGTAGCTAGTAACAGGAACATGACACTTACTGAAAGTTTGTCTACATAAAGCCTTGTGCTATGTTCTCTATGCATTTTTGTGCTGCTGTTGATGTTTAAGTCTCATACTACTCCTATGAAGTGGGCTGGTGTTTTTCCCCATTTTACAGATGAGGACCATGAGCTAAAGTCAGCTGGGCCTCTTCCATGTGTCACAAAGCTAGATCTGGAATCTCAGAACAGGCCGTCAAATGAAGAATTCATACCCTCTAGTCTTTCTATTAGTTCTCTATTGTTTCTCTAAGATAGAGTCATAAAGCAAGAAATTCCAAAGTCAAGACCTCAAGACCAGAGTGGTACACGTGGGGAGGAGGATGGGTAAGAGCATGGATTTCAGAGAACCATGGCCCCAGTACTTCTTCTTTGAAAATTTAATTATTTATGTTTTTCCTCAGCATGAATAGCATACTAGTCCAGTCTAAGATATTCCCATACACGTTATCATCAGCTGATAATTCTTCATTAACGTGTCCAGTAAATGTTTTATTTTGCTTGCTTGATTCCCTCTTTCTGCCCCACCCCATGTCCTATTGCCCTCCCACACTGACTCTAGTATCCACAGTTGCTCTCCATACTTTTATAATTTTCAGTCTTTAATCTTCTGTCACAAAGTGGAGCCATTTGTAATATATTAAGTTGGGACATACAATGCCCCTTTTCCATGGTCTAGTTGACTTCACTTAGCATGTAATCTTCCATATTCATCCACTTTCTAGCAAATGCCAGGATCTCATTGCTTCTCATGACTGAGGAGTATTCCGCAGCATATGTGTGCCACACTTTTTTAATCCATTTGTCTGTTCTTAGACATGTAGGTTGATTCAAGTTTTTTCTATGATTAGCACATGACTATTACATTTTGTGAACAATACTTTTCTCATTTGCCAGCTGAGAACAATGACACCAAATCCGCAGTTACTGAATACTTAAGGGCACAGATATAAAATGTCTTACATAGCATTTCTCATCTAGCAGACATGAAATACGTATCAGTTTATGGTCCTATCTCTCTATGATATGAACAAAGACCTTGACTGGAAGCATTGACTCCAGCCCTGCATTTCCAATATCAGGGGTGCTGGAGAGCAGTTGCCCTACTGGGTACAGAGGTCAGTGATACTTTCCGAACCAAAGGGAAGGAGTTAGGGCACGTTGCCTGCTGACTTGCCATCCCGCACCAAGGGCTAACGATTCTGCCTCCATGAAGACAGGACATGGAAGACAGAATGTTCTACAGGAAGAGATGCCGCCTGTGACTCACCAAGCGGTCTGTCTGGCCATTGTTATTGTCTGTCATGATTTTTTGACTTCCCATGTTTCTTGCAAAACGTCGAAGAATATTCAGCGCAATTACCAATAGCATCATAGCCTGGATGAGATATATTTAGGGAAGACAGATGAGTGGACGAACCATAATCTGTAAACAGCTCAGAAAATGTGGATAGCCCTTTCTTTCATTTTCTATAACATCCTCTTTGTATGAAAACGCTCTATAAAAACCTCCCCTACCTCACTGTGAACATCAGCAAATGTTCCATTGTGTGTATGATGTGTTATGGCTCAGACACTCTTACATCAGCTATTTGATTTTATATTTATGCTTCTTTTTTTAGTATCTGGGCTGTTTATTGCATTCAGAAATGCAGAATTATAAAAGGACTAAGACTGTGATCTTTTTTTAAAAAATCTCTTTTTTTTATTATCATCATAATCTTTATATTACATTGGATTACATATAATTCTACAGTGTATTACATTGCTTTTTTCAAAAGGGAATTCCATGCATGTCAGTCAATACAGAGACATTAATCTCCCCGCTTCAGCATTCAATATCTTTTCTATGTTTTCCCCAATCATTATTATTATTCTAATTATTTTTTTAAAACAGTCAATTGCTATTTCTCATTTTGCTTGTAAAAATACTTTGCCCATCATGAAATACTTCTCAGACCAATCCAGTTGAGAATACTATACATGTCATCATCAACAGTTAATAACCCCTATCTGTTTCTCACTAACGTCCTGTCTCTCTATTGTTCACTTGCTATCTTTCTCTATCCTCTTCTCTTCACTTACCCCATTCCACACTGTCCTATTCTCATTAAGTACCTTCACTGTGTTTATGTCCTCCGAATTTTTGCTCTCTATTATAGAGTGCGGATAGTCGGTATATATTGAGTGGATACATACAATATCTTTCTTTCATAGCCTGGCTTACTTCACTCAGCAATAGATCCTCCATATCTGACCATTTTCTATCAAATTCCAGGGTCTTGTTATTTTTTATGGCTGAGTAGTATTCCATAGAGTATATATACCACACTTTTCCAATCCATTCATCAGTTTGTGGACATTTAGGTTGGTTCCATGTCTTGGCAATTGTGAATAATGCTGCAATAAACATGGATGTGCAAGCACTTTTCTGACTGAGCGTTCTCCTGTCTTTTGGGTAAATACCCAGAAGTGGGATTGCTGGATCAAATGGTAGTTCTATTTGTAGATCTTTGAGGAACCTCCATATTGTTCTCCACAGTGGTTGAACTAGTTTACATTCCCACCAACAGTGTAGGAGGGTTCCCTTTTCACCACATCCCCGCCAACACTTATCACTTTTTATATTCTTAATCTTTGCCATTCTGACAGGGGTTAGGTGGTATCTCATTGTGGTTTTTATCTGCATCTCCCTTATGATGAGTGATGTTGAGCATTTCCTCATCTGCTTTTTGGCTGTTCGTATGTCTTCCTTAGAGAGATTTTTGTTCAGCTCATTTTCCCATCTTTTAATTGGGTTAATCATTTTTTTTCACATAAGGCTCTTGAGTTCCCTATGTATTCTGGTTATCAGTCCCTTGTCTGAGGCATATTTAACAAAAATATTTTCCCATTCTGAGAGTTGTCGGTTCACACTTGATACTATGAACTTTGCTGTGCAGATAAGACTGTGATCTTTAATGTCATGCGCTGGGGTTTAAGCCAGGCCTGTGGCACTTAGTAATCCATAATATAAGGAACATTACTTCTGTCT